ACATTCCATTATGGCTGAACCACTAAAACCAAACTCATTTACTAAATTCGTTGAAAGTATCCAATCTATTTTGATTATTGGCCGTGTGTCGGATTGATTTACCCATTTTTTTTTATCTATTTTGCCTCTTCCCCTTGTTAATGTAAATAGAGACCATGTAAAAACAAAAAGAAAAATGGGTACACAAGAGAAAATCAATATGATTAAGGGAAAGCATTGTTGTAAATTTGTGTTTGTAAATTCTTTAGTTGTGTATATATAACAATAACAATACTATTAGAAACTATTGGTCTACGAATGTCATTGTCTGGATATGTGAAATATTTTAGCAGGTCGTCACTTAAAAAAAAAAAATCTAATCAATCTTTTGAAGGTTAATGACCAAAGATTCGTTGGAAAAAACCTATCAATAGCTCATTAACTATTGTATATAATATATATCCTTATTTTTTCTGTGCTTTACTAAATTTTCTACATTCAAATTAGTAGATATCTCACCAAAATAAATCAATCAGTTGAATTCGTGGAAAGATCAACGAATATTGGCGATAGATGTGGCAATGGCTAAATCATTAGATAATAATCATAATATTGATAACATAAAACGGTACAAGTTTGTACGTGTTATCAAAAAGGACAAGCGATTACGTATAGCGCAAATGTATAAGAAAGCAATCAAAGAAAACAGTACAAAAAAGCTAAATGTAATATGTTTTATCCGTTTTTATAATTGGTAACTATAAAATCGGTTATTTTGTACAACAACGATAACACATAGAAGTTCGTTCTTGCCGGTGGGAAAAATAGAGCAAATAAGTTGAACACCTCATCAACGTGACCTTTTAAATTAAAAGAAACTCTATGTAAGTCGAATAACTCATAAAAGACACCTTAGTTATTTAAAAAGAAACTCTATTAGCTGGCATCAATGAATAAATTATTAAATGTAAAGGAATTAAATTTAGAGAAGAAAAAACTTGATTTATGTCTCTAGTAATAAAACATGGTGACATGGAGAAGATGAATAAATAATATTGGGCTTAGTCATTTGATCAACAACTTGTATGTATGGCCTATCAATTTATGGCCTTCTTCATTATGCTCTCTCCTCCTCCACCTATTCAACAGTCAAAAAAGCAAATCTTTTTAATATCAGTTTTTAATATATTTTCCGACACACGAAGATTTTGCATGTAAAGGACCTTTTGTTATTTATGAATGAATATATTAATAAGCACCAAGATCCAGCTAAATCATTACAGAGACACGTGCTACAACGAGGCATCACGTGCCAAAGCAGCAGAGTCTAGCTAGCTGAATATGGTGGATCCATGTGATACTACATCATGGGCACACATGAGGCCATGACTGACATATCAAATAACGTGACCAACTTGTGTATGCATGTGTGTGTATGTCTCATCAGATTTATTTGTGAATATATAGTAAAAAAAAAAAGAGAGTAAATGGTCAGACAAATGTTTGATGGATGGATAAGGATTAAAACACTATATACGAAAGAAACATGTTAGATTACTAAATTTAAGAATCGTTTCTCTCAAACCATGACAATATTAGTGATTTGTAATAGTAAAGTGGGATAAAAGCAAATAACAACACTTCTGTTTTTTAATTTAGTTGTAACCAAAACACTACGTAATATAAACTCATGATTTAGCAAAATATAAAAATAAAATAAACCCAATGAAGCTTACAAAAAAAATACATATATAAATCCAATGATGTCGACGTTAAAAGTTTCTAATGATGTTAGAAAAAAACTACGACGTGGTACTCATAATAATGATGTCCATGTAATTACATATGTACGTGAACAAAATATGTGATTAGATATGTCAATTTGAATTAAATATGTAGTTTATATATATATTCTTTTTCAAATGATAATTGCTATAGTACTTTAATTGGTCAAACATGTCATTTTGGATGTCTTTTTAGTAAACTAGCTTTCGTTAAAACCGATATAATAGAAAGACTAAATAAATGTAATTAAGTACCTGAGATCGGAGGCATGGAAAAGGAAAGGGGTTTCGAAAAAGAAGGTGGAGGAAAACCAATGACTTGAGATTGATGATAAGGATATAAAGTGTAGAGAGGCATCATCGGACTTGCCCCAACCATAACTCGTCCTCCACCATACATGTGATGATGTTGATAATATTGCGGTTGTGGTTGCGCGTAGTATCCGTTCATATATGTTCCGCCAACTTTCTGTTATTCCATAAGCAAAACATCATAAGATACGCATATCGATATTCGGATTTAAAAAAAAATGGTAATAGAAGAAGTCCAGAAGGACTCACTTGATTGAAGCTCATGTCCGGGGCCATATAAGAGGAAGGGTACCTTAATTTTATATAACAACCGGACTAATCAAATACAACGCATGTATACGTTATTTACGTACATAATTTTGAAGAAGAGTAGACCGCAGAAAATACTTTACCCATAGAAAGGAACGGC